GTGGAGTAGGACCAGACCCAAAATGCGGGGAGGGGGGAAAGCACGGCACAACACAACACAGGCCTCTGTCAGCCCCCCATCACTCTTGACGGGCAATTGGTTAGTAGCTTTCCGATTGCTATAATAAAAAGAAGAGATGCAACCCCCTTAAGCCTTGAAAATATCTGCCTGAATAAGCGGGCACGTTTTAAGAGCTGGAGTGCCCATCTGTAATGTGACTGTGAGTATTTTACATTATCACAGTATCTAAGTGCATCACAGTTTTTCATGTATGTACACACAATTCCGTAGGTCAAGGGTGTCAAACTCACCCAATGTCTCAGGCTGGACCTAGACAGCTGGGCTCCTTGCAAGCCGCATCCATGAGGCCAGCAACAATGGAAGCAGCAACAGTGGTGATGGGGCAAGCAGCTATGAGCCTAGCAGGCCAAGTGGCTCTAGGGCAAGCAGGGCTGCGTTACCACAGCCCTCACTCACGTGCCTGTCACCAACACCCATGTCCAACAGGCCCTTAGGGCTCCAGCTTCCACACTGCCCCCCACCTCCCACTACCCATGGCCTAGCACTAGGCCACAGGCCAGATACAGCAGTTCTGTGGGCTAAATCTAGCCCACAGGCCATAGGTTTGATACCCATGTGCTGGGTAATAGGAAAGTACTGTTTTCACTTTACAGATGGGAAACTGAGCCAGAGATATACTACGGTTCTGAAATCCTCCACCAATTAAGTCAATGGGAGCCCTGTGGTTTGTTTCAATAAGCACAGCAATGGGGCCCAAGTTATCTGTCAAAAGTCATAAAGTAAAACTGTGACAGCACAGGCAACTAATCTTGAATATTCCACATCCAAAACTAATACTACAGCATCGTTCTTCCCCTACATGTATTCTTCCTTTGAGATTCTGATATTTGGTATGTTTCAAATTCTGTGCAAGATGGGTTTTAAAGAGCAAACACATTGCTTCTAGCACGTGCCAGTATCAGAAGCAATTTTGACAGGTATTCTAGGAGCAACTAGTACAACCTCTAAAATACCAGGCATGAAAGTAAACCTACAGAGCTATAAAAAACCATAATGCCAGACTTTGTACTCCTGGACTACTCACCCGTGCAAAGTCAAATGCATATCTATAAATAAGTTTAAAATTTGTTGGCTCATTTAATAAAGTTCTTAAGTAATCCAAGGAATTCCTTAGTTTTTCTGTTGTATCACATCTACAAAAAAAAAGAGAAGGTAATTTATAGCCAAGATCTAGTATTGAAAACATATCCATCTCTGCTTTCATTCCCCTCCTTTGTATGCCTCTTCCACAGAAGTTAAACATATGGCTCTAGGCTTGCCTTCAAGAGTTGCATGAATCTGGGCTGAACCCAAAATGCAAATGGAAATTGATTTAGGTAAACTGGCATAAAACCTTAGGTGGTATAAACCCTTTTGGTTCAAAAGTTTAGGTAGGTTTAAATTAAACCTAAAGGAAAACATGTTCCCAATCAATTTAAAAAACTAGAAACTTACCTATACAAGGTAATAAATGTTAGAACAGGTGTTGGCAACGTTTTTGGACAGAGTGCCGAAAACACCTGCCACCTCAGCTTGTAAAATGTTGGCGTTCCAGGGGCAGACAGTGGAGGAGCCACCAGGGGCCTGATCCTTGTTGTGGCAGCATAGCCCCAGCCCCTTCCCCACCATCTGTGGCATGCACACACCCACTGCCAGCAACAAACAAGCCAGGCTGGGGCTCCGCAGATGCCAATGCAGCTGCTTGCAACCTCCTGGCTATCTGCCACAGCTGGCCCAGGCTCTGGGCAGGTCTCTGACACCCACCACAGAGTCTGACCTGCTCGCAGCAGGTGGTAGGGAGACTGCAAGTAGCTGCACTGGGGTTCATAGAACCCTAGCCCAGGTCATTGCCAGAAGTGGGTGCACTCATGCCCTGGGGGAGGATGGTGGGGAAGGGGGCCAGTGTTGCACTGCCACAACAAGAATCGTGCTCCTCGTGGCTCCACCATCTGCCTTGAGGCATGTATGCCAAGCAAAATGTCTTTGCATGCCACACACTGGCACATGTGCTGGGGGTTGCCTAAATGGAAAAAATATACATATATAAATCAGCTGATGGAACTCTGTGTATGAACATTTTTAAAGTGTGTTAATTCTACCATCATTGTGCTGCTTTGGATAAATCAGACTTATCTCTGCCTACATTCTCCTACCTTTATTTGCAACCCAGAATTCTCTCCCTAGTGGTGCTTCAATTTCACTACAGTGAGAAGCCCTCAAAAGAAAGGGCTTCAGCCTATTTTGTTCTTCAGCCAAAATAAGTGTGTGAACAAAGAGTTCACACCAAATCAATTTACACAATTAGGTTAATGATCGCTGATCCCTAGTGCACTCGTGCATACAGACCCAAACCCAGACCCAGGCCCAGAGGTTAAAAGTAGTTATTTCACATCAGCTTAAGTTGATAAGCTACAAGTTTCAGTTAAGTCTAAGGGCTGGTCAATATTACAAGATGTCTCCTAACGAAATGTCTTCCAACTTAACGCAGCCACTATGTAGAAGGTGCCAAAGCATCCACTCAATAGAAGCTGCGTGGAGGTGCCAGAAGCCAGGCAGAATTGCAGCTCTACTGCCAGGGGAGGACATATGGTGTATCGTAGGTGACACCAGGTGATAAAAGGTGCTGTGAAGCTGGCAGAAAACTTGGGCAAGTCTATACATTCTCAGTTTTGTTGGCAGAATTTGAGTTATGTCGGCTAAACAATGTAGTGGGGACCAGGTGCAGGACACACACACAAAAACAAACAAACAGAAAAAAGAGTGCCCTCAGAGTTTGTGCCAATATAAACACTGGTGATTTTTAATGGAGTGCAACAAAGCTTGCAACTAGTAACAAAATACTGTGGTTATTTGATGTGTTAAACAATTCATGCTATAATAGCCTGGCACTGGGTCTGCATAGCCACAGCATATCTAGACCATGAACACACTGGTCAAATCAAAATTACCTGGTACAAGCCCCATCTCTAACAGGTCAAAAGGAGACCTAGGAGAGAGAAACTTTCTCCCAAAGTTTGGACTGCAGGGAGGGGGCAGGCTTTTTTTTTAATAGAAGCATACCTGGAAGTAATATTTTGAGGAACCAAAAGTACTGAGGAGGATAACTGTAAAGAGGATGCAAAGCAGATACTTCTGGTAGTAGGTTTGGGTCAACAGAGCAGAAGCCAAAAGGATAATGCCTTATTTTCAGACAGAGTTAAGTAAATAAAGCAGATTCAAGACAAGATTCCTTATTCCTTTCAGCTAGTACTATTAAATCCATAGACATAAGCATTATGCCTGAGGTTGCAGGTATTTTAAGACTTTTTGGTTTAGTCATCAGAGCCTATGTAGCCTAGTTGTGAGGATGCATAAGGTTTAAAAATGTCTGAAAGCCACATGCTGCTGTAAGTAGGAAAAGGGTGAAATCTTATGTCTACTTCTCTGGAGAGGAGCACTAAATCAACACATACACTAAACCAACATAACTCTGGATAAAAATGCATTTTAAATTACCAGATTTACTATAACGAAATACAAAAAGCTTATAAAACTTCAAGGCACTTACTGCAGTGATGTCATTCCTTTTAACCATTCTTGCAACGTAAAGTAACCCATGTTTTGTGCGTCCAATTTCCAAGCTAACACAAGCATAACTACCTGTTTAAGAGAGCACACTATTAGGTAAAACAAAAAATAAATAGTCTTGGACAGTTATTACTTAACAGACTGCCACATGCTTTTATTTGGTTTAGAGTAAAAGTCACTCAAATATGAATGGAACAGTCAGGATACTCAGACTCTTCCTACCAAGAAAACGGAGCTTTTTAGAAGCTCTAGATTTTAGCAAACTGCTCATCTATATAATAAATAATTGTGCATTGCACTGTCCTTCCTGGTAACTCTGGACAGTCAAATCAAACTACACCTGTAAAATCTTTGGGGGAAGATATGGGCTCTGCTGTAATTTTCATATCATGAAGTGTGCTCCAACTTTTGACCCTATGTTAAACTACTTCAAGATTAATGAACCTCTCTCCTGAAAATAAGGGTACGTATGTCAGTAAATGCAGGTCTTCAAGACAACATCACCTCTGCATATTTCAACCTGGGGAATGTGCTTGCCGTACACTGCTTCATGAAACAGGCTCTCACATCAAATACCTGTAACTATGAGCCATAAGTAGTACACCAAGTAGTAACTCTACAGTAATACAGAAATCCTCAGCTTTGGGAAGGCTGACTGTCACAAACTCAGGAGACTGGTCAGCCAGGCACTAAGAGACCATGGTCCTTTAGAAAGGGGAGTCCAGGAGGAATGGTTGTTCCTTAAGAACGCAATCCTTGAAGCACAAGGAAAGTCAATTCTGTCCTGCAGGAAATAGAGTCAGCAGGCTGGGGAGCCCCCTTGGCTCAATAGGGAACTTTTGGCCCTCCTGAAACTAGAGAGAGAAGCCTACACCAGATAGAAAACGGGAATCATCACCAAGGAGGATTACACAGCACTAGCCTGCACCTGTAGAGAGCAGACCAGAAAAGCAAAGGGAGAAACCAAACTCAGGCTAGCCATGGGAATCAAGGACAACAAAAAGTCCTTCTTCAGATATGTGGGAAGCTGGAGAAAGAACAAAGGCAACATTGGGACCCCTGCTAGATCAAATGGGGTAGCTGACGTCTTGCACTCAGGAAAAGGCCACTTTCCTAAATGACTACTTTGCATCAGTCTTCCACCCACCCAAAGAGATCACCCTATCAGACAGGACACAAAGTATCCAGGGGGTGGGAGATGGGCCCACAATTGACACAGATCAAGTGAGGGAACACCTCGAGAGGCTCAACATCAATAAGTTCATGGCCCAGATGGAATGCACCCAAGAGTCCTGAAGGAGCTGGTGGACATCATAGCACACCCTACGGTGAAGATATCTGAGAACTTGTGGCACTCAGGAGAGGTACCAGAAGAGCAGAAAAGAGGCAATGTGGTCCCAATCTTCAAGAAAGGAAGGAAGGAAGGAAGAACTGGGGAATTACAGGCCAATCAGTCTGACATCCATCCCTGGAAAGATCCTGGAGAAATCATCAAGGGTTCCATCAGCAACAGGCTAATGGAAGGCAACTTTCTGAGTAGCAGCCAACATGGTTTTGTTGCTGGAAGGTCTTGCCTAACCAATCTCATCTCCTTCTATGACCAGGTGATGCATTGCCTGGACAAGGGAGATGAGGTTGATGTTATATATCTGGATTTCAAGAAAGCCTTTGACCTGGTCTCCCATGATGTCCTCATGGTTAAGCTGGAGAACTGCAGCCTCAACCATCTCACCGTCCAATGGCTGGGGAACGGATCAAAGGCCAAGGGAGCCCACATGATCAAAGGCCAAGAGAGCAAATCTTATGAGGAGAGGCTGAGGGACATGGGACTCTTCAGCCTGGAGAACAGAAGGCTCAGGGGGGACTTGATAGCAGCCTATAAGTATATAAGCGGTGTGGCACCAGGATCTGGGAGAACAGTTGTTTACCAGGGCTCCCCGAGGGATAACAAGGGCAAATGGCCACAAACTTCTGGAAGGCCGATTTAGACTGGACATAATGAAAAACTTTACAGTCCGAATGTGCACGGACTGGAACAGACTCCCTCCAGAGGTGGTGCAAGCACCTATTCTGGACTCATTCAAAAGGCGTTTGGATGCTTATCTTACTGGGATCATTTGACCCCAGCAGACTTCCTACCAACGGCAGGAGGGCTGGACTTGATCTCATGAGGTCCCTTCCAGCCCCAACAGATGTTCCCTATTGCCCAGTTTCAAAATGGCGTATATCACATAGACAAGACTAGTAAATTATTCTCCCATTTGAAATTCCACTCTCCTCAGAAATCTGAAGCAAGCAAAGGAAGTCCAACAACCTTTGTTATTATTGTTCAATTTGAATCAGCCAACACATTTTTGAAAAACTACTTTTCAGAGGTTAACAGTTACCACTTCTAAAATTAATCATACTTGGCATTTATACTCATATTTTTTCATCCTGCAACGCGCCAGAGATCCACTGCTTCAGAGCAGACTCAATTAATCAAGTCTGCTCCTCATGCGTATGCAGTCATATAAACATTGAAATGAGCATTAGCGCATAGAAAATGACACTGGAGCATTTTGGAACTAAAGCACCTTCTATGTATTTTAGTTCAAAAGTACACCTCTGTCATTTTCACAGCACTGATGGACATTTTGCTGCTTATACAACTGCAAGCATCGCAGCACCAGGAGCTTTTCAAAAAGCCCGGCACTGTGGGGCTTGCATGTGTAAAAATGCCCAATGTTTTCAGAGTGCACCTAAACAATCAATAAGCCTTCTTGCCTAATGTTTCACTAATTAAAACTAGGGGTGCACTGACAGAGATTTTGGGGACTGATACTGACAGCCGATTTTTATGGAGGCATATTGGTCGATAACAATCTGATTTCCGATACAGCTGTGTGCAGCTAATAAGTCTGTTGTGGTGAAATGGGAAGTGGGGA